CCGATGTCTTCTTAGGTCAGTGAGTCGTGTGTTGTCTTAACGTGAAGCCGATGTCTTCTTAGGTCAGTGAGTCGTGTGTTGTCTTAAAGTGAAGCCGATGTCTTCTTAGGTCAGTAAGTCGTGTGTTGTCTTGAGTGAAGCCGATATCTTCTTAGGTCAGTGAATCGTGTGTTGTCTTAGAGCGAAGCCGATGTCTTCTTAGGTCAGTGAGTCGTGTGTTGTCTTAGAGTGAAGCCGATGTCTTCTTAGGTCAGTGAGTCGTGTGTTGTCTTGAGTGAAGCCGATGTCTTCGTAGGTCAGTGAGTCGTGTGTTGTCTTAGAGTGAAGCCGATGTCTTGTTAGGTCAGTGAGTCGTGTGTTGTTTCAGAGTGAAGCCGATGTCTTCTTAGGCCAGTGAGTCGTGTGTTGTCTCAGAGTGCTAGTGCGTCTAATCACGTACTAGACAGTCTATCCCACCCACCACTAGTCCATCTCTCCTCACCGGTTCATTCCCACCCGCTGCCTTGTACGCCTACAGAAAAGAGAGAGAAGTCGGAAGTGCTGAGGAATGCGCTGGTGTGTGTCATGCTGCGCCTGCTAGAGTACCACAGTGGTGTTATCTTCTTGACCTCCAACCGAGTGACTCACCTGGATCCGGCCGTGCAGAGTCGAGTGACGCTTGCCCTATTGGACCGGTCCTCTTGGGAGAAGGTCTGGACGCTGCTGGGCAGGCCGCAGGGCTTACTGACATTACAAATGAGCAGTATCAGCTGCTGAGTGAACAGGGAGTCAACGGCAGACAGGTATGTCTGTTGCAGATGAGGGTCATCGCAGTCTCTGCGGTTGAATATATGGTGATTATATATTTAATTTAAAGTAATTATAAGAGTTAGTATATTTAAAGCTAATATATATTTAATATTATATACTTAATATAAAGTAGTTATATGAGTTAGTATATTTTAAATATAGGGTGTGGAAGATGATGTCGCAAGTAGGCATTTATTAATTGTTGTATCTAATGCTTTGATTTAACGCGTACTTCTTGTACTTACTCCCACAGATCAAGAATTCGATCCGTTTAGCCCAAGCGCTTGCTAAGTTTCGCAATGTAGTGACCACGCTTGAGCATCTGCAACTGACTGTGAAGATGCAGATGGACCTCACAGCCGACACAGACGAGACGTGGTAGTTGCTATGTACCTGTGGAAGTGCTTAAGCCGCTCCTTCCAGGTTCGGCAAGATGACTTAGGGTTTTAAGGTTATAGGGTTTCAGCAGACTTTGTTCATTGTTAAAGTATGAGTTACTCCACATACTCATGGAGTGGTTGTGCTATCTGGCATTGAATAAATCGTTCTGTGCAACGGAACACAATTGCAATAGCGCTGTAGTGGCGACCTATCAATTGTATAAGGATTCAATATCGCCTTTGATTGATTCCAGACGTCTTACTGACGATATTCTCTCTCTTATATCATCTGACATAAATTTTATAAAACCCAATATATATATATATATATATGTATATATTTCTATATATAT